CACAATTGAAAAATAACTGTACAACTATTATTTCAAAATAGCAAGAAAATTTTATTGTTTTATCTTTTATGATTATATTGTTACAACTATATGAAAAAAATAAATTCTTAACACTGATAATAGGTATGGGTGAGCGGTTAGTACCGCGTACATCTGATAGGATTGTCATAGATTTCACTAGTGATGAAAGGAAAGCACTATATGACTACGTCATCGCTAATACTACAAAGCCAGATGTTGGAGAAGATATTGCAAATATTAATAATTTGTGAGTTTTTAAAATTTAAACTAATATTTGTAATTAATATACGTAATGTCTGTGCTAGTGTATAAATATATATTATGTACTCTTATATTAAGTTTATGGATATTGTAAATTGTTTTTTTAGGGAGCCACAAGAAAAAGAAGATAAAGAGTTGTCATTTTTGGAGTTGTTAATACAAGAGCGGAACTTGAAAAGGCGTCGAGTAAAGCATAAAGGCGTTCATACAAACAAAAGATCTTATGTTGAAATTCTCAGAGAAGTGATTAATCAACAAATGGAAATATTTGTAGATTATGTCTCTGAACAAAGTAATTCTGGACATGTAACAGATGTTCGCAACACCGAAACAGATGATTTAAATTATGAACAAATACAAGATAGAACTGAACACTTATATAAAGTATTTCATTCTTCTCGCAACAATGACGAATATAATTCTAGAGAAAGAAATGGCCATCATCACAAGAAGAAAAGAGAGCATTCAGAAGAAAGAAATTATCATCGATCAAGAGAACGAGATAGACAAAAAAGATATTTGAACGAAACAGACAAAAAGCACAAGCATGAACATAGAAATATAGAAATTTCATCGCATTCGAGAGAACGGAAGTCGCACAAAAAAGATAAATATCGAAGCAAAGACAAACACAAAGATAAATATTCTGAAAAGAAACATAAATCTGGAGATCGTGATAAATCATCAGAGAGACGTTCAAAGCATAGTGATCATAAACGTGCGCGAAAAGACAAAAGTAAAGAATACTAGCTGTGAACTAATTATGAAAATAATTACACGGGAAAAATGAAACTTATTTAACGATTCATTTGAAGCTATAATCATAATTAATATGAAAATACGAATCTTACATTATTAGAATTTGCTTTATGAAATGTATATATATATATATATTTTATTAGCTTGAATGAAACTCATTTTTTAACTTAAAAATTTTATTTATTCTGTCATAGATTTTATTATTTGATTCTTATGCAAATACAAATAAAAATTTATATATAGATACATTAGAGTAAAGGGCATAGGATAATAATTGGACTGAATAAAGTATATATTAATAATTCAGTAATAGAGAAAACTATTTGGTTAAATCTATTCATTGACTTTTCTAGATCATTTTTGTCATGTAATTTGTTTGACATCGAATTATTTATATAACGCTTGCATTTGTGATTTATTTTTGTTCTAACGATTATTATATCTTGTAATTTTTTACGCTTAAGAAGTTTCTTCTGTTTCTTAGGTTTGTTCAAAAGTTTCTTTTTTAATTTATTAGTACCGACAGTGTTGCAGTTATAAGCAATTTGCAATTTTTGTATATCATAATATGATAAGTGACTTCTTTGACCAATCTTCACATAAAGATTCTGTAAGAAAAGATTTTATTATTAATTCAATTAATACAGTTACATATTCGATATTAAATCAAATATAAGGATCAAACATTTTATTTAATTACAATTAAATTTTACAATATTTTTTTATATTGTATTTTATATTGGATTTGAAAATTGTATTACCTTAGGTATTATTGTAGGAAGTGACCGATTAGTAGAAGACGCTGTCATAGAATAGTGCATTATACTATCGTAATCATATGGTAATCCATAATTAGTCACGATACTATTATTTAATAGCTCGAAGTTAAATTCATCTCCTGTAAGAATCATTTATTAGTCCCCTTTAGTATTGATTTATATATTGTTGATTACTTTTTCTCATGTTTTCCCATTATATTGATGTACTTATCGCGATCTGGTCTCATATGCTCATGATATACATCTAAAGTATGCAACATCTCATGTATTGAGTGTCCAACTATGTAAAAACATTCATCCACGTTTAAATTCAGAATACTTGGTCCGTAAGCGTTATATTCTATATCAGAATAGCAACCCTCATCATGACCTGTGATATTGACCCAATTACTTTTTTGAAAGCTGTGCATAGTCATCGACACGGATGAATTTAATGCAAGTCTTCGCCATTATCATTTATAATGCAGTCTCCAGCATAATGAATTTTAGCGGCTCATTAACTGGAACAGATAATAAATGTTTAAATATTTAGATCTGACAAACAAATATATATCTTAAATATATAATATTTTATTTTTATTGGAATATTTCATTTGTAAACTTTTAGTTGCGTGTAGACTATTTCGACTTAGATTTGCAGAAACAACTCACCTATGGATGAATGAACGTAATATTTTACGTTTATTCCATGCCATTAGGCCATAATAAAATTTTCTCCGTTGTAATGGTTTTTCTTGATTGCCGACATATATCTCCTTCTTCAGGATTATTACATTGAGATACCATAAATCAACTATGTAAATATAAATAGTATAACTATTCTTATTAGTGGTTGGTATTCATAGTCTCAGCAAACGAGAATAGATTGAAATGAATTGAAATCGATTCAGAAATATTGATTTCTGAAATATTCTATAATATTTTCAGAAATATTGAATATTAAAATGTTTTTCAATCCTGAATGCATTTTTATTCATTTATAGGAATTGCATGGAGCATATCTTTATGTTTTTCAATCTAAAGATAATATTAGCTTTTTCTGTGCACAACACACACACATTGTGAATACTATTCAATTCAAAATTTTGAATAGAAAATACAGTTTTTCAATCCAATTGCACTCAATTGAATCTAATTGAATCCAATTGAATCCAATTAAATCCAAAAAAAGTATTCGCTATTTAAAATACGCATTCGGATAAAAAAAAAATTTCAATCCATTTTAATCCATATTCTCGTTTGTTGAGTTCTTATATTCAAGATCTACGTCTTAAGTATTCTTAGAGAAGATGTCACGAACCAATCAGAGGGCCGCATTAGCGTCTTAAGACAGTCTTGAAATAAGAATCAATTAAAAATATCAACCAGTGTCTCTTTTTTTATATTTTTCAAAGATTGTCAATTTTTAATAAAAAAAAAACGAAAACATCTAAAAAAAATTCTGAATGACATTTTAGAATGTCCTAAATGAGTATTTAAATTGTCGTTTCGATATTGATAACAGTTCGGTATAAAATATATGTGTTTTTTTTTAGTCTAAATTTTAAATATTTGTTTAGTTATAGTAATTATACAAGTAAAAATTTATATTTGCTTATTTTTTAAACACTTGTTCACGTTCTAAGAACTTTATGAGAACAAAAAGTTCAATTAATATCTTAATATCAAGAAATTCATCAAAATAATTAAAATCTGAGCGAAAAAAGATGAAATTCTGAAAATCTCCTCATGGATGCAAAGGATTAATTAATTAAGTTAAAAAATAGAATATTATCTTTGATATCATATACATTAATAATTTAGCTTAATAAATATTAGCTTAATAAATATTTAATAATTTAATTAATAGTTTAACTTCAATAAAAGATATGTTTTCTTATTTATTTGTGCATTAGCAATAAATAAAAACACGGCGATAATCCGCAAACTTTCTAGTCTTTGAATATCTTTAGTTATTTTGATATAGGTATCCATATTTTTGTCTACACATTTTCAAGCACAATCAGAGAATAAGTTTCATTTCTTTACTCACGTTTGTAGCTAATAAATGGGCTAGACTTCTTTATTTTCGGTAACATTTGTAGCGGTCTTATTATCCAAGAATTAATAAGTTGCACTGGATATGCATTAATGTTCGTAACAACTACGCAATATATATAATAATATAATAAATAATAATATAATAATATAATAAAAGCACTAATGTTCGAGAGATCAAGTTATGAAGACATTGAGTTTTAACTGCATCTTTCTTGAGCGAATTACATGTGTGAACTGATGTTTTATCGTGCGTGAACTACAATAATTATATTAAAATTGATTCAGCGTATATCGCAGTTGATGAATTAAAATTCTTTTCACAGGTCCAATAGTGAATAACATGTTCGAAATATCTTTGTAAGTAGATTGAATTTGGGCATTGTTTAAAAAAGAATTAATAGAGTTATAACAATTGCCAGTGAGAAACTTTGCTCGATTAGTCATATCGCTGGTGTAACTTTTATTGCAATAGGTTTTTTCTCATAGAATTAAATTTAAATAGTATTTTATATTGCATATTAACATTGTGAGAAATATCCTTGTAAAAGACAATCCTATATACATCAGAAAGTAATATTTTTTATCTTAAATTTTCATTATTAAAATTATATTAATTGATGTTATCTTCGTCATATCATGTAATTTAATTTGTTTAAAAACAAGTACGTTTTATCGTAAGGAAAAGTTATAAAAATTATGACGTGTGTAAAAAAGATTATATTCCATAACGATTCTATTTTTTATTCTCGTTAAATTAATACTGTACAATTAACCGCGTATAATTAATTTGTTACGCGGTGATAGGGATTATGGGATGATATAGATTATAAAGAAGTATGTCTTATTGAAAAATATTTTTTTATCATAAAATGGATCATATATAGGTAAGAGGAATTTATGATATATGTTATATTTATGTGTAATGTATTTTCAATTCAGTTTTCTTTATGAAAAATTTCATTTTTTTTCAAGCGACACAGTAATGCTGCTGATTACAATATATTGGAGTCTCAAAAAGGCTCTACATCAACAGAAGAAAATGAAAGTGTTAAATAATTATAGTTTTCATATTATTCTTCTCTTATTCAATAATGTTTTTTGATTGTAGGTATGGCATTGATTTTAAAAAATTGAAGAACTTAAGAATATTGCATGAAAATATTACAAAAATCCATAAATAGAGATTTAATAAATTAGACGTAACATTATTAAATTTTATAAACAATGTTGTGTACCAATTAAAATATATAATCTGTAAGGATATTAATTGTGCTACATGCTTTTTAAAACTAGGATTAACTATAAACTATTTCTATAATTTTTCGAAATTATTGAAGAAAAATAAAATTATCAACACTACTTCGTAATAATAAGAATCGACTATGAATACCAGCCTATATTCTTTCAAAGATATCTTTATAACAATTTAGACATTTTTTAGATGACTTTGTGTTTTCTGGATATATATATGCATATTATTTTTTACAGCCACAATTCTTGAATATAGCAGGATTCGCTTCATATCATTTTCAATTTAGCACGGATTCGTACCACATCAATTTTTCAACATTACAATTTTATCAACCGTGTCGATAATGTGATACGTAGTTCACATTGTTTTATAAAAGTGATTGATGCCATTAGTGACGGAAGCTTTCAAAAGTCACCGTTCTGTGTCACTGTATGTCACAAGAAAGACCTGAATGTGAGATGTGGCCACTCAGATTTCTCTTTGGTATGTACACAGAAAATATTTTCAAGATACGAACATTACATTCTATTATTGCATTACGCAAACTAAACAGCTCGTTTTCATTTCATTTTGTTCTCACCAATTCTCTTTGATTCTCACTTTCATTATACTCTTATAATATAATGTTTTAATCATTTATATTTGACACATGTTAACGCATCGTGGAGTTTCCATTTTATCGCATGCGCACACAATATCAAGATAAAAAGCGCATTTTTTGATATTTTTAGGTTTGTTTCTGTAGCTGAGCTAGTGTATACTTTTGAAACTTAAAGTAAGATAAATGTATGCTTGATATTTGGCTAAAGCGAGAAAGTTCTAGTGCAATACAGTTAACAGTATAGTATAAGAATAAAAAACAGACTTTTTGTTTACATTATCAGTACATCAACAAAATGACGAAATATGAAAGTTCCAAAATGAAAAGGTATGAGATTTTGAAGCCCA